TCAGCCAGCGCTCCAAAGCTTGACCGAGCTTCCACGCTTTAGTTTTTTTCTTTTCTTAAATAAGAAGTTCAGTAAACCATGGTATGAGGACTTAAATAGAGCAGTTGCTATATTGTAGAATGAGAGGCGTGCTGAATGTTGTCCTGTAGATACCGTGTGTTCCTGCATTACTTCTCAGCGGCTAGAGAAGAACCGGTATCTCGTTCTGTTTTTAAGGTCTACTCGAGGGGTTTCTTTCTTGGGACGGGTGTGGAAAGAACTGGGACACGCTGTTTGGGTCAGCAGCAGACCTCTATACGCCGTTTTGAGGGGGCACAACTCGGCCCCGTGTCCTCGTGGTTTTTGTTTTTTTGTTTGGGTTTTTTCTCTAACATCCAAGCTTTATCTGCATGAGTGCCATTCTGTTCCACTGACCCCCCCCGCCCCCATTTAAAGTGTGTGAATAATGGCTCTTAATGGAGCCTCAGGCATGGCTCCCAGAGCTAAAAGGACCTCGGTGCGTGTGTGTGTGTGTGTGTGTGAAACCAGTGTTTTGAAGGCACGTTTTACTTTGTTTTGAAAGACGTGCATTATGACTTACTTTTTCTTTTCTTTTTATTAGATTCACATTTGTCCATTTTTACCCTCTCATCCAAAAGAAGTGAATCAATTAAACGATGATTAAGATACATTGTCCAATTTTTCTTTTCATTATTTAAAGGCTTGTAGCATTCAACTTTACTCTGAGCAGGCTGCGCTCTTTGTGGTTTCTTTCAATAAAGTTTTAACTGAAAAACCCTTTGGTGTGGCCTTCTGGTGCAGATGTGGGAGGCATGTTGCAACGGCCATGCTTGCAATAGAGTAATGAACACCTCATAAATGCGTCGTAACTTCAAAAGGAACGCTTTAAGCTTCTTGTACTTAAGAGGCTGGAGGTAGTTAAGCTTTAAAAGTGTAGGCCAAATTATGTTACTGTGGAATGCGACATTGTTGAACTGTTCTGTTAATAAGCAGGAACTCTTCTCTATATTTAGCTTGCTTGTTGCCCCCCCCTTGTGATGTCATTGCGAAAAAAAAGTGGCACATTAAAACTAATACAGGGGGAAAAGGCACGATCCAAACACAAGATGAGAAACATATCGTATCAATAGAGAAGCAACAGGCCAAAAGGCTGAAGCCAGGTTCGTAAAAAACCAAGCGCCCCCCTTGATTCTATCACAGACTTAAAGTATTTGTGTTAAGGCATGTGGATGTTAGGAGTCTCACGCATCGCAGAGGGCTTTTGTCAGGCTAACATCCAGACCTTGGCAACAACACGGGCTCTTTTCTCTTCTGATGTGGTTTAGATTTCCCCAAACGTGGGGCTGGGGCTGTTTGTCTGACAGACGCTGTTCCAGAAGTCATGTGGTCCATGCAAACCTAAGCCTCGTTGCCATGTTCATTTTAAAGTGGGGGCTCTTTTTTTCTGTCTCAACCCGCTGACCCATGCCCGGTAGAGTCAGACCCGGTAGAATCTCGCATCACTTCTTTTATGCATTGACCTGGGATGAACTTTTTGGGGACATCGGCTGCCTTGAGTCTTTTCCAACAGCCCTGTGGAAATGAGGAGACTCAGCCAGGGCCTCAAATTTGCACCAGCAGATGTCACCCTCACACAGATTTTGCCGTCCCCCTGCAAAGCCGCTCAGGTAATGCTAACAGGAAATTCAGTGTTGTGGTAACCATGAAGCCGCAGTTCACATTTCCTCTCGTGTTCTCTTTTTGGGGGTGGTTCCTATATCCTCTGCAGGCCCCTCTCCACCCTCTTGAGCCAAGTTTTCCCTAACCCTAACCTTAATCCCCCCTCCCCTCCTCCCCCTTTAGGAGCTGATCTCTAATCAGTGCTGTAATTGCTGCTCCAGAGGCCTTTTGCACACGCTCCGTTTATCTGGGGTCGATCGGCCGGAGGAGGGCAGGAAGGAAGAAGGTGTTTGATGGGATTCCCCCGCCGTGGGCTTTCTGACTGGCAGAGGGGGGGGGGGGGGGGGGGGGGGGGGGGGGGGAGCTCGTGTAAATCTCTGAGCAGACGCCCGCCGTCGCTGGTGTACAGTTCTGTGCCGGAAAAATGAAGACAGATGGCTCTGCTGCTGGTTTGGTGCTTTCTGTTCTCGTTCATTAAGCTTGCGCTGGTCCATTTGGTTTTCTATCATCCTTGTTTTTCACTTTCCCAGCAAAGTGAAGTTCCAAATTGGCGGGCGGCGGAGGGTTGAGGAACCGTGATTGTCGTGTAATGGCTCCGCATCTGAAATGAAAAGTGAAAATTAAGACTCTGCAGGGAAGAAATCGAATGGAAGACACGAGAGGGCTCGTGGGGCTTATTTGATGTAAGCATTCTATGAACAGCCACTGGTGGAGGACCATTTTGGATCCTTTTTAACTGTTAAACCAGCAATTGATTCGTAAGAGCCCACCTTAATGCTTAAAGTCGAGTTTTTCTCGTTTCTCCTGGTCTTGAATTACTCACCTCTTCTCTCACACACCTCCCACCCTTGTCCCTCGGCTTTCCCGTGTGTTGAACCTGACCTCCGATGAGACACCTGTCGCTACACACACAGCAACTCACGGCAGAACGTCCACGACATAAAATTGGGCCTCAGTAATAGTGTTACCACTAAAAAGAAAGGAAATCACAGGCCATTTACAACATCATACCCCATTCCCTGCCCAGTAGAAATGGCTTGTTTTGGCTCTGTGTTAAAATGGGAATATGTTACCTTCTCAGTCCCTCAGTTGTACACATGTACCTTCTCTCTGTTGCTGTGTTTGTGTATCCCTAATTTTCGACCAAGTTAGTGGACTGGGCCATAGGAGCTTAATGTTTCAGGTGTGATGAGGTGATCTGAAAAGTAATAATGGACAAATCTCTTACATGAATAAATTTTTTTTTTCCCTACCTTGTGTGGAGGTCACAAACTGGAGAAGTGGGCATGGAGGCACCTTTTTTTCCCCCCCGGTCATCACCGATGACGTCCGCTTTTAAACCTTAATCACTTTTTCCACCTGAGCAGTGATAAGCAGTCAAACAGAAACTTACAAAGTCTGCTTTCCCACACTGACTCGGTTTATTTTCCCAATTCGTGTGATTCCACGCATGGGTCAAAGCAGTTTTCTAGTCAAATCCTTGTGAGATAATAACAACAGCATGTAGACTTCTCACCCAACACACACACTATGGGGACTGGAGTCAGTCTTCAGCACGCAGGGAGACGCAGAAGCATTTTGGGATCAGGTCTGTTTATGAACTGAAATCCCCGGGCCGGCGGCCAGAAGAGGTTTGTGCTCAAACCACAAAAATCCATGAGAAAAATAGGACAGAGTCATCCGATCCGGCCGCTGGCTCTGGCCAAATGGACGCCAGAGGTGTGAGTGTGACGGTTCAACAAGGCAGCACTTGTTCTCCGTTCTGCTCTGCCCCCCCCCCCCCCCAGTGTCCTCTGCATGGTCAGAACATTACAGCCCACAAGGAAGGTGAGCAGACTGACATTCCTCGGTTGCACCTTCTAACAATAAGCGGTTAATCAAATTATGACGCAGACAATCAGAACTTTTTAGAGATAGTGACAGGAACTGACAGCTTGCTTCACAGCATGCTTGTCTGCTCGAATAACTGCAGTATGACATCCGTATAACTCTTTTTAGACTCTTGGCAAAGCATGAAATCATCCACATTCAGCAACTTTGGAAACATTTGCTAATAGACTCAACCCCGATATGAATCTATTAAACAAACTTTAAGTCGAACAGCATGAGGAAAATTTGGTTTTAAAGTAATTGTACGTCATTTTCCGCTCCAAAATGGCTCTTTTTGAAGGAGAATGCACACATGAAATAGAGCCTCAGAAATCTGCTAAAACTGGGAGGAGAATTGTTCACAAAGTTCACAAAAAATCTTTGCGAGCAAAAGTGTAAAATGTTTACATCTGGATATATTTGTCTATTTCAGCTAGTGAGCTGTTAGAATGAAAAATAATCATGGTGTGGTCTTTAATAGTGAGGTTTACATCATTAGATTGGGTCATTAAATACATCTTCTGGCAGTTACAGCCGCCGTTTCATCTCATCCTACTTTTTTTAAATATAAGGAATAACAACCTAACTGACTGTTAAAGAGTTAGATCAAGGTTAAGATGTAAAACAACAGGTTCAGTAAGCATGGCTTAAAAAAACCCAAATTAGATATTTTCTTTTTTTTTTTAAAGTCCTACATGAATAAATTACTTTAAAAATTGAGCCATCCAAAGTGATTAGAGCAGACTTCCAGTGGAATCGTATGATAGCAGGCACAGCACAGAGGCAAACGGGACCAATTACTCCCAAAATGGGGCATGT